CCCCCCCCCCCCCCCCCCTAACCATAAAATTAATACATAATAATAAATTAAATAATATCATATATGTGTGGTGCAAGAATATCAATACAATATTGTGAAGTAAAACAATGTAAACTTAAAATATAGATTAACCCCCAAACTCTATGATACAGTCAAACACATTGTCCATCTTAACAGAAAGAGTATGTATGGGAATCATAAAGACATACCTGAAAAGCGTGCCCTCTCTCAAACAGCTTGAGTCCAGATTGCTCCTCATTTCCCCATTTCCCATCCTTATAGCTGTTGCACACGGCCACATTCTCATCAAAACAAAGACTGTAGTCAAATGCAATTCCAGTTCTGTGCCGTAGACTAAACAGCACTCTGTTGGAGAAAGAAAATGAGAGGAAATTACATATACATATATATATATATATATATACACACAGTATATATAAAGACAATCTCAGTTTTATTGATCAGGATGATGTGACATTCTAATAGGCCTGGAATTAGAGACTATTCAAAGAAAAAAACTAAAAGACATTTTACAACTAAAGTGACATTGTCAAACCTTTTTGCTTGTGGGCTGATGACTCCTTGGATGATGATGCCTTTTCCAGGCTGTACTCCACCATGAATGATGGTTTTGTATGGGACCGTCTGATTGTGGATCAAAGTAGTAATTAACAAGTTAATCCTTTGTCAAACTTTAAAAAATATATATTTCTATGTGCTTTGAAAAATGTCATATATTTTATTCAATCAATATTTACCTACTGACCATTTAAAATCTGATTTTGAATTGACACTTGTTTTATGATAATATTCAACATCATGTAGAGCTCTTTATAAAACTGGCTAAAAGAAACAATTTCTCCAAAATATCTTTATCTTGAATCATCAGAAAGTGTGACCCAGGTAAGAAAATTAACAACCAACAGGTGATGGAATTGCTACAGAGATTCCACACATTCACATCTAAACACTATAAATACATCTAGATCATCATGATGTCTCATTAGAGATGTATGGAGATTGTTTGTCTGCAAAATATTTAAAATAACTTACAAAGCATCCTGGAAGTGCAGCATGATTGGGCTGTAAATTAAATGTATATATTTAGGACAGGGACCAATTTAGTAGAATTCAGCTGATGAAAGTGAATTTAAATAAAATAAATACAATTATGTGTGCCATTATATACTGTAAATAATTAAATAATTACAACATTTTCATTTTGGGGTGAACTATCACTTTAAGGTAAACAATGACCTGTAGTAAAATGTACTGTCAGCTAATGTTAGATAACGTATCTACCTCCTTCCTATTAGCCTTGGCACAGTGTACAGTAATGCCAGTTGAACTCAGCATGAGAGACACTGGTATGGCATTTTATACTGGTTTAAAGGGGGAAATATTTTGAATAAAACTTTTCCTTTATTAAAATCCCAACCAATACAATAGCCCTAAATAATGTAAAGTTGTTTAAATTGTATGTGGCAAGTTTATTGTGCTGCCTCTGATCTGTACTTTTACATTAGAAGTGTGTTCAACATGGATGTGCAAATGGTTGCTGTAGAAATGAACAATGATATCTGCTTGAAATAGCCTGTGAAAATATCTCACATTTGAGGCTATCACTGAATACTGAGAGGAGAATTAGGAAAACCAGCAGCAGTGCATATTAAATGTTCTTAATTTAGATCATGCGTATTTTTATTAGTTTCTGTGAAGTATGAATGCTGAGTTCCTCCATCGATTCACACACACTTTACTTTCTCAGACACCCACACAGCATGCTACAGATAATATAGCATTTTGTATGTAGTTTTGTATTTCCAAATTACAAATTACATTTCTCACATCATATTTTTGCATTTTAATTTAACACATTTGATGAGAAAGTATTTGTAATTTTTGATGCTTTTTTACATTTTTATTTCTCACCGCAAAATAGTGGAAGGTAACAAAACTCAGTTCCACCATTCCAACCACGCATATGCGATCCACATTTGAGAATGGAAAACGGTGCTTGTACTCTGAGAAGGGTTTCCCGTTGGCAAGTATCTAAGAACAGCCAAAAAAAAAAAAAGTTTTTATTCTGCTACAATAAAAAAGGCCTTTTTGTGGCAGTTGATGGAAATATATATTTTTTCATACCTGAAAAAAAAAGGAAAAATGTACTATTTACAGACAGAAAAGCCTAGTTGAAGTCACCTTGTAAGACTCCTTGGTGACGAGGATCTGCAAAGAAAACATCTGGCCTCTCGGGAAGGGAGTTTCATACTTGCGTTCCTCCCAGCCCCATGTCCCATTTTGACGGGTGTTGTGCACAACGTACGCAGGGCCAACCCAGAGCATCTGATAGCGAGGGTTAACTTGCAGAGCAACAACATCAGACCCATGTTGGAGGTTCACGTGGAATCTGGAGAAGACAGAATAGAGAGGAGGAGAATAACAGCTGTAACGTACACTAAAAAATTTGCGTAAATTCAACACACTACACCATAAAAAAGAATAATGTGCCTGTTTTACTCAATAAAATTGAAGCAACTATATTAGTCAACATTGGAAGTGGATCAAAAATGTTAATCAAAGTTGTCCTAAGTCAAGAACGGGTATTGTTTTTGTTTTAGGACAACTTTGATGAAAGGTTTTGATCCACTTCAAATGTAGACTACTGTATTTGCATCAGCTTTTTGAGTATTTTGGACTCATTTTTTTCTATTAGACTTTACATGTTTCCAACTTGCATAACAGTCATAATAAGCATATTTCCAGTATGTGCCTGAGGCTTGCACAGTAGCGTCAACTCAATCATCAGAATCTTCGGTAATCCTCGGTTTTGAACTTTGAACCAAACTTCGCCACAGCTCATGCGGTTCTTGTTGAGTCCTCGGTGAGTCCTCGATAATCCTCGGCAAACTTCGCCACAGCTCAT